GCAGATGGATGGAAAACACCGCTAAGGGGAGGAGCAGGGAGACAGGAGAGGTCTGCTGCGCCATGTGGGAATCTACCCGGCCAGCCAGAAATTGAATCCATGCTGCAGAGGCTGCGGACAGCTTCACAGCACTGCTCTCAACCACCTGTGCCATTGGTGAGGCCCTAAATATATTTTTTTTAAATGTAATCCATATCCACATCAAGTAGTCAAATGCATGTCTGGGATCATGCTTTATATCAGCAAGGTAGTTTTATTTTAACCAAACTGCAGCATAGCCCTGATACCTTTTTGCAAAGTCATTTTCTTCCTACTCTGAAAGCTATGATGGTCATATATGCTGAAACAACCCTGCTGGAGTGTGGATCACATTTAAAATGATTGCCCGCATGTAGAGCTCATTCTCCAAGAAATCATTTTACTATCCAGCATTTAGCCAGCTCAAGAACCATCTCAATTCTTTGCCACCTCGCTGTTCCGTGTTGGTATTTTCCACTAAAAAGAAAATGTGTTTGAATCAAAGTTCATTAAAGCACAAAGGGCTTTAGTCACACTCCAGATGATTCATTGCGAGAGGGTCTTGCCCATCACAAATATCTCTGATAATTTGTTCTGCTGTTCTTGGCACGGGTTTGGCAACACGCGGCAGAGAAGGACTTTGAAGCAGGAAAGTGTGTTCCAGACAGGAGCTTTCACAGGTGTCTGGACTCAGATGTTCTTCGAGATCTGAGACAACAGAATCACTCTCTAAGCCATTAAAGTTTGAAGAGCAACCAGACAGATGTTCATTCTTTCATTTAATATTTCAGACAGCTGCGTAATGGCGCGCTGTTGTTTTTTCATTTCTTTTTTTTTAATAACATTTAAAAACTAAACTTGGTTTAAGGTCACTTCTGATGACAGCTTGAACTGGCCCGCCAGCTGTTTAAACGTTCCTGACATCTGCCGGGGAAGATGGAAAGCTTGCCGTGCCCCGGCCTAAATGTGTGTTTAAAAAATATTTTTTTGTCTTTAACAACATCAGTAAAAAACGACATGATTAATTGAAAGGCGGTGTGTTTGGGGAATGCATACCTGCAATCTTGTGCCTCTGTCACCCGCCACCTTTAAACAGAGACACATAAATCTCCCAGAACTGGTATGATGTAAATGTCCCATATGCGATTAAAATTAAAAGGGTTTATTTCATTCACACTTTATGAGCTGTAAAACATTATTGCTTATAAAAAAAGAATTCCCAAATGTTCGGTATCATTTTCCCAAGAGGTATGGCAGATGGTAGCACAGGTATATGAAATTTAATCTGTGCAATAACCTTAAATATACTTGCAATTATTAGAGATTAGTCTGAATATTTGCAGAAAGACCTGGGGGAAGCCCAGGCCTGGTGTGACTGGACTCTGCTCTTCCTCTGGGCTTAGGGGCTTCATTTAGGGGTCAGTCAGCTCTCTGGGGATGTGGGCATGTTCTCTGCATCCTTCACGGGGAAACTGCCTGTGGGGCGTGTTTTATACCACAGGACACAGGAAAGAGGAAAATGTGGGTGCTGGAGATTTTAACCTTTGCTCGGGAAGTGTCTGTGACGTGTCCTGCCTCAGAGTGAGCAGGAATGAGCCAGGGAGCAGTGCTGCGGCGGTGCCTGTGGCCGAGAGTGAAGCAAAGCCAAGTGGTTTCTCGTCCAGGCCAGGGCTGCCCTGCAGAGCTCGGGCGGAGGGTGGGGTCTTCAGAAACAGCCAGCCCCGGGACAGTGCGGATCACCGGCTTTGAGAGGCAAAGAAGCCCTGAGCAGCCTTAGAACCTGCACACTGTCTGCACCGTCCTGGGGAGGCGCTTTCCTGGAAACACGGGTTTATGTCACCCTAAAGTTGGTACTCGGGTGTGTTGTTATGCAGAACAGGACGCACTAGGTGGATCAGCAAAATGTATGGAAGGAAGGACTATTGTTTCCAGACCAACTGTCCCCACTTTACACAGGCAACACCAACATCCACAAATTGTGTCGCTTAGCTAAGATCTCAAGGCAAGTAAGGAACACATCTCGTTAAGTTCCTCATTCCTTCGCCCCAGAGAGGATTGAATTTCCACCATATCATCTTAACTCCTCAGTAACAACACCTCGTCCTTTGGTAGTCATTGAACCGATATTTTGAGATTATCATTGACTAGAATCAGCCAAATAAATACAAAAGCACCAAACGTTCTACAGGCCTAGAATTATAAAGAACCATGAACAAAACTTAGTCCAAATCATCTGTCTATGGGTGACCAAGAGACCCCAAAGCCCCCTGTGTAATTAGTTGTAACAGGAAACAAAAGTGAATGTGTCAGGCTGGGCATTTTTCTCGTCAATGGCAAGTGGCGGCAGGTCATTGTTGTCAAACTCCAGGGCCAGGAAGGGGACGGAGACCCGCGGGACGGTGGCACTGAGCCCTCAGCGGACGCCCCCTTTTCCAAAGGTCTAACAGGCTGCTGTGTGCCTCCCTGACACCTGGGTGCTCAGAACTGCTATCATGCTTAATGGCATGACTTAATGCTTCCTTCCTAAAATAGGATATAAATCTGTATCTATTGACATAAATGTGTGTGTGTATGTGTGTTTTCTTTTTCTGCCTGTCAACATGGTGAATTGCATTGCTTGACTTTTGCTACATATGTGTTTTAAATGCTGCATTCTTGGAAAAATTTACTTGGTGATAGTGTGTCTATGGGGAGGGGATTTGACTTGCTAATATCTTTGAGAACTTGTGCTATGTTTAAGATGGATGTTGGTTTTGTTTTAGAGTTTTAGTCCCTCACCAGTCCTATTTAATAGTTCCCTGTAAATCCTAAAAAAAAAAAAAAATAGGCAAGTAAACAATAAAATGCATTCAGATTAAAGAGGGAAAATAAAATTATCCCTGTTCACAGATGACATGTATGTGAAAATCCCAAGGTATCCACAAGAAGCTCATAGAAATAAGTGACTTTAGCAAGTATGGGCTATAGAACAATTGCAAACAATATTTATCTAATATAACATTTACTGTGTGTTGCAGAATGGGAAATGTTGCTGAAAGAAATGAAAGAAGACGTAAGTGCAGAGAGGACCTACTATGTCATGTGTGGAAGTCTCAATACAGTTATGAGATTCACTTCAAATATTTATCCACTGAATGCAATTATGAAAATCCCAATAGAATTCTTTGTAAGCATCAACCAAAAGATTCTAAAACTTCTATGGAAATTTAGAGGAACATGAATAGCCAATGCTGAAAAGAAAAAAGAATGGAAGACTTACTTTTTCCCACTTAAATCTACATTAGTCCAGATAGTGAGGTGTTAGTAAAAGGGAAGGTTCATGGACCAGCAATACAGAATAGAAGATCCAAAAGTAGCTTGACATACATATTTTAATTGTTTTTTTTTTGAACCAATGTCAAATGGTAATTCAGTGGGAAAAGGTTATGCTTGTCAACAAATGGATGGGTAAGAACTGGGTATCTATAGACAAGAAAAACAATTAACAGCAACTCACAATTTAGATTGAAATATCTCCAAATGGATCATTTTAAGCTGAAAGGTACAATTACAAATATCATAGAAGACAGCATTGGAGAAAAGCCCTTTTTGACTGTGAATCAGAGTTCCCTGGCCTGGCACCAAACGCATAATCAATAGAAAGTCCATAGCAGGACTTCAAACTCAGAGACTCTTGCTGAGTGAAGTGGCAGCTAAGAGGATGAAGATACAACCTGCAGAGTAGTGAGAAACATTTTCAAGTTAAATACCAGGCAAAAGACTTGTGCTCCGCATACGTCAAGCGCTCCCAAAGCACAGCAATAAGAAAACCAGCAACCCAATAAAAAGTAAATGAAAGGTTTGAACAGACACTTCACTAAAGAAGGTACCTGGGAGGTAAATCAGCAAATAAAAGAAAAATTCCAATCATCATCAGTCATTGAATCCTTGGGGAATTGTAAATTAATAAAAACACACTAAGATATAATTGAAAACCTATTAGAATGGCTAAAATAAAATTTAAGAGTACTAGCAAGATGCAGACCAACAGATACACATGTTAATGAGGAGCTCGCAAAATGATGGTCTTTTCAAACTGTGTAAGCAAGTTCCTTCTAAATAGAAGACTCGCTGAATCACCTGAGAGATGCATTTCTTTTGGGATTTATCCTTAACAATGAAAGCTTATGTTCATACAAACACATAAGCTTTAATGTTTTAAAGCAGCATTATTGATAATCGCCCAAACCTGGGAGGAGTCTACAGGTGGTTGATAGGTCCGGTCCGTGAATAAACAACTGTCAGAGGCGCGCAGCTGGTACCTCTCAGCTGACTATGTGAAAAATTCTAAAGGATATATTACATGGAAGATTCTAGATGTAAAGGGTGGCATATTCTTGGCTTCTATTTTGACTTTCTCGCAAAGGAAAACATACAGGAAAACATAGGGAAACGGGAGTTGATTGCCTGTCTTTGTGGTTATTAGACTCCATATATGTAGGAAAAGAAAAATAACTCTGTATCGAAAGTGTCTTCTACATCATATAAGTTAAAATAATGGTGATAACAACCAGTGCTATTTTCTAATTCACTAAGATAGAGGTAAAATAATATCAATGAAGATTATACTTAACAATTAAATATACTTCTCTTCTTTGTTAAACATCTCATCAAATACAAATATTTCAGTATAGTTAATACCCCAATTATTCCTTTGAAAGAAGATGTCAATCTGGATAATGTTTGGTCTTTTTAAAACACAGTTGCACACTCAGAATCCATTTCTTGCCCTATTGTGTTCCGAAACTCTGTCAAGTTAAATGATTCTTCAGAGAATGAAATTATTTGCCACAGATATTGTAGAAAATGTTTTTGAAAACTCATAGTAATGAGTGAGACAGCAGATAATAGAAGCCTTCTTCGTCTAATGGTGGCCAAATCAATACAAAGCTGAGGTCGCCGCAGTCAGTAATAAGAGCTGATTCAGAAGGACAGCTACTTACGCCATAGGTGGGAGTCGGGCAGCGGTGTTAAGATTCCAGAGATGGTGGCGCCATTTATAGCTGTCAAATTCACACCTGTAAATGAGAAAAGTGAACTCCATCACCTGAGACGGGGAGCATGATGAGGTGGGGGGGGGCAATGGAGGGATTGCTGCACTGCAATTCTTAATTTGAAAATAAAAGATATACAAGAAAAACAATAGTATCTATTTGAAATGTCTTTCTAACTTATCTAAAGCTGTTATAGGTAAGGAGAACAAATATCTGTTCAGAGAGTATGTCTATTCTATATTATGCATAGAAAGATGTTCAAATTAATTTACTAATACCTTGAAAATATTTTAGCCATAATTAAACATTTCTTCCATATTTCATTCAAGTTCAATAAATTTAAGTAAATTAACATTTTCCAGTAATGTAAATGCTTAATTAAAAAATCCTACAGCTCCTTTTTTTTCCTACCTAGTTCCACAGTCCTCAGGAAAATTTTGATCTATTTCATTGGTATCATTTCAGACATCTCTCCATTTAAATGATATCCCTCTTTCATCAGATGGTGAAGGAATACATTTCAGGAAATATCCTCCCTTGCTGTATCAAATTCCCTTTAGATATGAAATGATTGAATTTGCAAAAAAAAATCTTCAGTATTTTTTTGATTCCAAAATGCATGCAATGATCACTTAAGGTTTTTGTTTACCTATATATTGTATTAAAATTATTTGGTTCTGTGTTTCTACCCAAATTTGTTAACCTTAAAGAAATCTCTCAGATAACTATGTTATTTGGCGATAACACTCTTTGCTATCACTGCTTTGCTAGCAGTTTGTAAAACAGGTAAAGCACTTATTATATTAAATATTAATTCTTCAAAGGATTATTCTATAAAAATATAAGTATCTTATTTGTAAATTCACCAAGATTGAGTTGTATTACATATTGCAAGATGTTTCATTTTAAATGCAAATTTAAAATACTCCGTATTTGGAAGGCACAAATGATTGTTTTCCATAAAATTCTAATAATTTCTACCTAACAGGCATTTTTTAAACTATCTTTGGAAGGTCATCATTGCATTTTCCAGAAAAAGTCATACTATCTGGATTCTGGGTAAGTCAGAAAAGAGCAGGTTATTTTGTTACTTCTTCCCTTTTACTGAGGGACGATGAGCACCAACCTCAACACTGTAAGTAGAAGAAAATGTTTTTTTAAAAATTACAGCAGAAATCAATGAAATTAAACATAAGAAACTAGAGAGAAAATCACTGATACTAAAAGCTGTTTTTTTGGAAAGGCCAATAAAGCTGGCAACTCTCTATGAAGCTAAGAAGAGCGAGCAAGGACACAAACTATTAATTTCAGAAACGAAGGAAGGAACATCAGTACAGACTTCATGGACATTCCATGGACAACCAAGGGACACTATCCATCAGTTGTGTTGCAGTGGTGAGGGCTAGGTGGAATGAATGAATGAACAAACAGGTAAGTGAAATTTTACTCATGGTTTCAAGAGACACTCTTCTACCGTCAAGAAACTTTTATGATGTAAACATCCCTGGAAAATATTAATCTAAGACAAAAACTGTCATGAGCCACATAGATACACTTGGGAAATGCCCCCCCTTCTGTCCCCTTGCCACACAACACAATGTGTTTGGTTTGAAAACTAGTAATCCTTTCTTGGTCCAATCTTTCCAGACCCTGTGTCTCTCTTAAGGATAATTTGTGTTTTGCATTCCCTTAAGTTGCATTTAAACCCACTATCTTTATCTAAAACTAAAAATATGGAAGGTAAATGACAGAGGAGCTCTTCACAAATACTGTATGTGAGAAATGAGGACAGGAGGCCACCAGGTCAGGCTGGCATGAGCACTGGGCTCTGCGTCATTTAGCAAACATGGGTGAGCTTCAAGGACCTTTCTACTATCCATTGCCGTGTGCGTCACTAAGTGAACCCTCAGTGTATGTCTATTTATCAAATACTTCCGCCGCTTGTTTAATGATAATATCACACAGACCTTGACATTTACTTCCTTTAGTTATTTCTTAATGTTGTGACATTTTATATTTTTTAATTTTTAATAAGCATTTTCAAAAATAGGCAAAGAAGTCACGTCGGCAACGGCTAGACAAGTAACATTTTGAATTAGAATATATGTCTTTCCATGCCCTTCTTTGCAGCAGTGGTACATGAAAGCCAGCCGTCCTAATCGGGGTCACCGGCCAGCTCATTCCTCCACGAGTATCTGTCTCCCGCAGTCTCGCCCCCTCTTTTCACCCTGGTGTCCTCTGATCCTTGGCCTTATGTTCCAGCCTCAACACATGCATGCACATCCCACCGCCTGTCACTCCTGCAGATCTAATTCTTCCTGATCCTTACATTTCCTGAGTTAAATCTAAAGTGATCTTATATTTAAGGCTTGTAGGCTTCATTCAGAGTTGTGCACGCATTTCAAATTCTAGATCTAATTGGCACGTGTGATTTTTCCATCATCTCAAGGCACAACTATCTCTTCCTTGACCTTGGTTATTGTCATGGTTTTTGAATAGTTTGCTGCTGCTGTTTGAGAACTCCACCAATAAGATGCCCCTCAGGCAAAGGCCCTGGGAAGGGAGGTCACGGAGAGAACCTGCTGGAAAAGAGAGCAGGAGGCTAGAGAGCTTGCTCTGAGACACAGGAGGATTCAGTGGCCAGACGCCCAGGGCATTTGATTGCTGGTCTCCTTGCACACCCTTAAATCCTCCCCCGCCCCAAAAAAAGTGTAGGATTTCCTTTAGGAAAATACGCTTATCAGTATGGTGCGGGAGCCTATCATTCATACCAGATTCTGAGAGCTTGCGGATATTTCACTGTCTTTTACTGGTAAGAGCACTAAAACGAAAATGTCGCCTCTCACAGAACAAGCACACACACCTCTCTGCTCCGTCAGGGGCTCCCCAAATGGAAATAACTGCTGTCGTTTACACAAATGCTGGCATGTCGGTGCACCAACCACGAATGTCTGTTGAGCTAGTGTTTTGATGGGTTCATTGGCACACGCACTGAGGAAAAAGTGAAATAGCTCTTCAAGTCTCTGTGAGGTTTAAAAATGGAATAACTCTTCAACTAAATATCCAGACCATGTAAAAGAAGATTCAGACGATTTCTTGGGGAATAAACTAGAGGAATCTTATTACCTATAAGATTATTGATATCTGATACTGATTTAAAAAGTTGGACAGACTAACTGTAAGTTACCTTAATCATCCAGCCGCTGGTTACAAGAGCATCAAGGCCTGGAGCCTCAGGGCACAGCAGCCCCCCTCCCCCACCAGGTAACTGTAGCTTTGTTTTCAAAAGTGTCAGTTAACTGCAGTCAACTGAATCCATTAAAATATTTTGAGAAAGCTCACATTCACTTAACATTTACTACAGCCCACTTATATAACTTTTCAAAATTATTATTTGTTGCTGGTAACCTCTAACTGTGCTTCACTTATAAATGTAACTTTATCACCAATGTGCACATAGAGAAAGAAAATCATGATGTAGAGAGTGTTCCGTGCTATCAGTATTTCATGCATCTGCTGAAGGTCTTGGTGTTGTTCCCAGAAGTCGTGGGATTTCCTGTATTCATTCCAGCTCCATCGCAAACATCCAGCAAACAATTTTCAGTTCTCCATGAAATATGGATAGGGCGCAGTTTTACAGTTTTGTTGTCTTATTGTTTGAAGTCTAGAAACAATGTTAGCTGCTTTCTTTCATGAGGAAATTTTCTAAGGAAGAAAAAATGCTGTGTAATGATGACTCAAACACCAAAAGACACCTACTGTTGGGCGAGGACGGCCACACCTGTGGACTCTGATGCAGACGGAGGGGCCGTGGTGGTGGGTGCGCCTGGGGGACAGCATCTGAAGAGGTGGGAACCTGCCCCTCCGAGTCCATGCAAAGCTGTCACCAATGGTGCCTACAGAATAAACACACAAAAACAAATAATAAGAAAACACCCTCAAAGAAAGATGGAAACCACTTGGAAATCATGGTGCATGCCCAAGCAATTGCTCAAAGTTCTCATATGAAGCAGCTGTGCTTGGTAGGGTCAGATGATTATTTCCCATATTGACGAGAACCCAGAAGATATTACAGGCGACTCTGAAATACAAATAAAAATCTACGGGGCCCTGGAATTTCTTTAATGATTTTTTGACAGGTTTATGTCAGTCCGCATTAGCCCACAAGGAGATGCAGTGGATCTAGCGACAGAGAAGGGGCACTTGTCTCGGGGACCACCTCGGCTGCGCTGCAGGGCAGGATAACCAACAAAACCCTGCAGCTCCTTGAAAGAAGCGAGGAGCCCGAAGAGACACGTCCGAGCCGCAAGCACCAGGCTTCCTCGCCAGGGCCCAGCCGGGCAGGGCCGGAGGAGGCAGCTCAGGCCCCGGGCGGGAGGGCGCAGCCCCTGGAGAGGCCTCGGCCGTGCGCCCAGCCCCGCGGCAGGCCCGGGGCCTCTCACGCCTGGTCCTGAGGCCCGGACAGCGCAGGCCAGGGCTGCTCAGAGCCCCTCCCGACCACCAGCCTCGCGTGACCCAAGGCCGCCCCCACGGACGAGCCGCAGTGAACAACTAAACTCTAGCTGGGGCAAGACGCGGACGGACGCGCGGACAGACGCCCGCGGGACAGGCGCGCACGGACACGCCCGCGGCTCAGAGCAGCTCCGGGGCGGCAGAACTCAGGGCCGTCTTTGGAGACAGGGTCGGGAGGGTCCCAAAGCTGCCTGATGAGGAAACCACAGCTCTGGGTTCAGGAGGTGAATGATCTCGGGAGATCTGGCAGAGACTTGCCAAGTGCGCGCGCTGTCAGCACTGGGAGAGTCGGCGACGCCACGCCCCGGGGGAGGCCCAGGGCATCCGTGACACTCTCATCAGACTTGTCTGGGGGTAACCCCCCCCCCAAGTCTGGATGAGAACTTCACAGGGAATGTTAGGGGGAAAGGCTGTCCTAAAGCTGATCCCATACAGGCTTCGTGGACTCCACCCCCACCCCAGGCCAGAGCCAAAGACCCTGGGAACTCCACATCCCATCCCCACCCAAGGGAAGGGGGCTGGGACCTGAGGGTGGGGTTCAGCAGCCAGGGTGGGATAAAGGCAGACACGTGGGCTTTGGGGGGGGATCCCCATTTTGGCTCCCCGCCAGCTCGCAGCGTCTGGCCAGCTCTGAGAGTGCCTTTGGGTTTCCAGGTCGGCAGACCGGGTAGGACGCATGAAAGACTTTATTTCCCTATTTTCTCCCTGAGTTGTACAATTTCCTTATTTCCCTTTCTCTTGTAAATAAACCTCTTATGAACCTTTCGTGTGTGCCTGCCGTGGAGTATTCATAAGTCCCTTGTAAGCGCGCGGGTGAGGACCCACAGCCAGGCCACCCGTTCAATATCGGGGCTGTCCTATGACAGGACCTCAGCTCTTGACAGGCAACAACAACACTTTCCTTATCCACATATACACAAATAACATATAAACAAAGGCCCAGAGGCATAAATATCTGCTTGCACGGCATCACTTCCAAACTTTCTGTATCACAAGAGTGGTTGGTTGCGCTTACTGTATTAATGAAAAGAGAGATCTCGCACGTGCTTTCACTCAACAAAGGAACTCTGCCTGGCAGGCGAGAGAGGGTGTGACAACTTCAATACACATGTACAGAAACAGCACACACCGCACTGCCCCGTCAAAGTTTTCAGCCTTTAAAATATGCAAAGACATGCCAAAATGCATTTGCATTTCTGAAACGGTGTCTCTTTCTATTCTTAAATTCAAATGAAACCTTTTCTTTTGAACGTGTGGCAGCTGCACGGACGCTCTCAGAGCGGCCTGCCACGCTTTGATGATGTGTGGCCTTGGGGGGAACAAAGCCATGATGCCCCTCAGTTCTTCTGAAAGGTAACAAATTGTTATAGGACAGGGAGAGGGGCAGCCCAAGCCCCGCAAACCTGCCTATTCTACATGGGTTCTGCCATCCGCCGCATCAACACAAAACATAGGAGACTTTAATGGGAAGCAACTTTAATAAAACTAGGAAACAATACAGGTAAGGCAAAGAGTCTAGTTTCTAAATGAAGCACCCAAAGTTACCCGTCCCCTCGTGGGTAAAAGTCCATCCATATGGGATCGGCCCAGAACAAGGCCCCAAAGCCTGCTGCAAGTCTAAAGCATCTTCCAGTGGGGACCCACAGAGAAGGGTCAGAAACAACCGGACAAGCCCGGAAGGAAAAGAGCAAAATCAACATCAAGATAAAAGCTGCCATGGTCCCCTCCCCACGGGTCTCCCCCACATCTGTGTCACCCCGTCCACAACCCAAAGACAAGCGCAGTTTCTTCACATGTCTCTAGGCTCCACGCGCCTCCTCCAGGTCTCCTGGCTCCATCCTGCTTCCTTCCTTCCCCAGTCTCTTCTTGCAGCTTCTTCTCTTCCTGCTCAGCTCCACCCTCCCTTGGGTGGGGCAGGGAACCTGGAACTTCCCCCTTCCCTGGGGACCACCCTGTTACAAAATCACCTTCCTCAAAAAGGAAACCCCATCCTCAGCAGATCTATGTGCTCAAGTAAATAAGGGAGTTTAAAACCCTGGGGATAAGAGAGAAGCAGGGAACTTGCGCACAAGCCAGGCGTGCACAGGGGAGGCTGGAGAGGGTGCGGCTCCCCTTCCCAGCACGCTGCCAGCCAGGAGGCGGTGACGGGTGTTGTAAGATGGTTCAGGCAAACGGAACAAAATCTGCTGGGACTTTCGGGGACAGAACTCCCGAGAGAGGCTTTGAGGATTAGGCTAAGGACACGGTGCTGTCTACTCTGGGGTTAGAAGTGTTTTGTGATGAGAACATCAAGCCTTACTGGGGAAAAAAAAAAAAAAAAAAAGCCAAATGAGGGATCAACTGAAAGTTATGCTCGAGAACAGGCCGGGCGATAAAGATGTCAGATCGGTTCTATGCAGCCATGATCTCACCGCTGGGTGCCTCACGGTCATGTAGATATCGCCCAGGCTATTGTATTAATCATCCTTTAAAAAAAATCAGAGTTTGTACATTCAAATTTGCCGCATGCCTCTGCTCAGGACGAGGTGAGATAACAACCGGTTTTGACATTTCAGACTCCAAATGTCATTGTGACCTCATGGAAACGTCACTTCAGAAAAGCGGGATAGGGGGTTTTTGTTTTTCAAGAAAATAACAGAAACCCAGATGGTTGTGTGAAATGGCCCAGATTTTAAATCTTAGGCTTCATTTCAAAGGACACCTGTGCTCTGCAGAGACGGCCTCTGCCCCCGGAGCAGACGCGCGTTGCTGTCTCAGGCTGGTCGGAGCAAGCGCAGGCCAGGTGGGCCGGACGCTCCTCCTCACTCAGACTCACCCTCTGCCTCTGAAGACTCAGGAAATTCATTTTCTTCCTTTCCTTTCCAGAGTGAAAGGCCAACAGAAAGGCAGACAGCCGCTCCCTTGCAGAATTAACATTTGGACACAGTGCAGGATTCTGAGCTCAAACACAAACCCAGGAGGTCCAAACTCCAACCAAACACGGTTTCCATATTTAGCCCCAGAATCAGTGACTCTAGACCAGATACCCCAAGGCTTTGGGAGGGGATCCCAGAGAACCAATGAGGGGGCAGATCCTCAGCCTGATCCACTCCCCGTTGCTGCCCTGGATGCTGCTCCTAGTGCAGCCTCCCCTGCTCGTCCCCCAAGTCCAGCAGAGCCTGAGCACAGAGGACCCCCCAACCCCACCCGCACCTGCCACGGAGAGCCAGGCCGGGCGGTGGGCAACACTGAAGGAACAGACCTCTGCTCCGGCCCAGACCAGTCTGCAGTGGGTGGGAAGAAAGAAACGCAGACAACACACCCCCATAGTTCAGGGGCCAAACGATTCCAAAAGGGGTCCTTGTGAGGCACGTCTGGGCTCCCGTTCATGACATGGAGGCCGCAGCCTCGGCAGATCAAATCTGAGAGGGAAAGATGCGGGGCTCGCAGATGCTTGAGAGAGGCCGGCCTGGGGGCTCGGTGCAGATGCCAGGAAGCGCCGAGGCCTGGAGATGGAACGAGGAGAGAGGACGGGAGGAGGGACCAGGTGTTGATGAAATACCCGTCACGGGCCGCCCTTGGTCCCTCGGGCCCGAGCGCCTCCTGGAACCCAGCTCGTCTGGCTGCGGGTTGCCGGCCACACACCCCTGCCCCAGCACACCTACACTCAGCTCCCGCGGGCCCTTCTTACGCGTTTTCCCCTACTTCCAGGGAAACTCACCTCCTCACACCGAAAGCCCATCGTTCATTAAAAACACAGGCCAGCGCGTGAGAGGGTCCGATGAGCAGGGACTCTGGACACTGCCCGCCGGGCTTTGGCCGAAGAGGCACCACATGGAACTTGTACTAGCGGGGCTAGAAGGACCAGATAAACCCAAGTGGTAGGTGATTTCAGATTTCAGTTCACACCTCAAATCAATGACCCATCACGTTCTCTGTTTCAGTTCATTTTCCCCTCCTTTATGTTTAGACATAGGTATTGACAGTGATTTGGACCGTGAGACAATTTTCAAAGATTAAGCCAACAGGTTAAAATTAAAAAAAAAAAAAAAAAAAAAAAAAGATACCCTCCTTGAAGGGATGAAGCTGTGTTTGATGCTGAATCCCTCCCTGCTTCCCCAGTCACACAGATTCATGTAACAAACGCTGTTACGTAACAGAGCACTTGAAACTCAACGTGGCTGATGACGTCAACCTTTATGACCTCGCACGTGACATTTGACATTTGAAGCACTTTGAAATATCGCTTAAAACTAAGCTTCCCTACTCAAAACTGTTTGAATCTATTTCCTGATGGAGAATGAGAAAATGTTCACATGTAAAAAGCCAAGGGGAGGGCCGCCCCAGGGGCGCAGGGGGTTAAGACACAACCTATGAAGCTGTCCGCAGCTTCTGCAGCACGAGCTTGATCCCCGGCCAGCCAGGGAGCTACCCACAAGGGGCGGCCGACCTCTCCTGCCTCGCCCGCTGCTCCCCTCAGCGGTGTATTCCAGTCAGTCTGCCTGTTCTGCTCCCCGCTCTGTCTCTGGTGAATCCTCTCACCCCCTCCTCCTATCCCTCTGGCCTGTACCCCAGCTCTTATATTCATAAAAATAAAATAAATCTATTTTTAAAAAAAAAAGCCAAGGGGACATTCAAAGTGTACTGCTCCTTGGAATGTTCTTGTCTTAGGATGGTTTGGGTCAGCCGACAGCTTTCTTCCCACACACTAAACTGTCTCGGGAGCTCAAGACATAGGCGGGAATTCCATTTTGGCGTGAAATTCTCAAAACGTGTTCGTGTGATTTCGGTGCCGATGACACTGAGAAGGGAGGGAGAATGTGGTTCAGGACGAAACGGGCAGCACCAGCCTGCAGGCGGTCAGACGGGACATGTGGGTTGGAGCAAAGCAAGGTCAGAGAGCTGGTTAGGGGCAGACATGGGGGTGGGGGGAGGCACTCTGCAAGAACAAGAGCAAAGGCCCCAGGCGGCAACAGGAGGTGGCAGGACGAAGGGCAGCTCACCCAGGAGGGCTGGCGACAGGGAGAGGAGGCGGGGGTGGGCAGCAGCAGACCAGCGAGGGCAGGGAAGGCTTTAAGAAAGGGTTTTCGTGGGCCTCCCCAGTGGCGCAGCGGTTGAGCACTGGGTTGCGAAGCTGCCTGCAGCCTCTGCAGCGCCAGTTCGATCCCCGGCTGCTTCCCGGCCACCGGAGGAGGGTCCCACATGGCGCGCAGACCTCTCCTGCCGCCCGCTGCTCCCCTCAGCAGTGTCCTTCGGTCCTTCTGCCTGCTCTGCTCCCCGCTCTGGCTCTGGTGAGTTCTCTCGCCCTCCCGCGCTTCTGACTGTACCCAGTGCTTGTATAAACAAACAAACAAACAAACAAATAAATAAATAAAACATGCCTCTATTAAAAAAAAAAAAGGGTTTTTGTGACGTTCAAGCACAGCAAGACCACGGGAAGGCTGGTTTATGCTTTCCCTCTTCAACTGGTTGTGGGATGGAGGATGTTTAAGGACGGCGGGGGTAACCCGTGAGGGGGCACCAGTCTTGGCCCAGTCACTTGCAGCCACCCTGGGGCTGGTAGGTGCACTGTCAGTCCCCAAAGAGAATGTGGAGCCTTCCGTGGCGTTTTGCAGTCCCTTAGGCTGAGACGGGTCGTGTGCACAGGCAGGCTACAGAGCACGGGACTCCCACTCTGAGAGAGGCAGAACAGCAGCTCCCCTCTGGCCAGAGTAGCTGGGCGGGTGGACAACTATGGCTATGAGGTGGCCGTGTCGGGCCTCCCTGGTGGCCTAGGGGTGACGGCTCAACACTATCAATTCTGCGGCCTGCATTCCATCCCCCGCCGGGGAGCTACCCACACAGTGCGGCAGACCTCTCCTCTCTCCCCCGCTGCTCCCCACAGCAGCGGATGTCAGTGGATCCACCTGTTCTGCTCCCCCCACTGTGTCTCTGGTGAATCCTCTCATTCCCGCACCCCCAGCAGGCACCCCGGCTCCGTAGAGAATGTTGGAAGCCACAGGATGGATTAGTTCAGTCAAGGACAGCAAAGCAGGGGAGGTGACATGCGAGCAGGCTTGCGAGAAAAGCGGGAGTGAGCATTGGCGTTGGCGGCCGAAACGGAAAAAGAGGCGCTGGCGCAGTATCAGACCCGACACCCCTGAGCCAGTGCTTCTGCGTTTTGGGGCTGCAACTGCGCTCCAGGCTGCTCAGGCGAGACTCGGTCCTCAGGTGATACAGTGAGTGAAGAGTCAGGGTAGGCCTGGGGGGGTGGGTGAAAGGAACCTGCAGTCTGAGTAGCAACAGAACCCCCGTTGTTCACCTGAACCCACCGTTCCCAGATGCCAGGTAATTCCTGCCAGGGCTCGGGGTCACAGCGTCCGGACCTGTCTTTTGCCAACCAACCCGCCCGCAATTCCAGCAAGAAGCAGCTATTTCTAAGCCAGAAATCTCGGTGGGAGCTGATCACCCCCCGCTGCCCCCAGCCCGCGCTGAGTCAGGTCGGGGGGCGGTGGTGTCCCCACTGCAGGGGGCGACCATGGCAGGCAGCACCGCCTGACGGACACACACCCGTGTCGTGCCTCTGGCGACACTCTCGACAGTGAGGGAAGGGGCTGCGTGCTCGCACCAGCGGGCAGACACGGGCAAGAGGGGAGCGAGAGGCCGAGCTCTAGAGCATCTGCCGCCAGCCAGAGGCGCCCGGGCCTGCGGCCTGGAGGTGGCCGCTGGGCGCGCTCAGCCCGCGGGCAAAGATGGAGGAAGACCAGGGCCCGGGGAGTTTGCAGCGTTGGCATGTGAAGGACGGGCTGTGTCGCGTGTCGCGCTCCCAGCACGACGTGTTCACAATGTCACTAGTGGCGGAGCGTGGTTTTGAGACATGAGCGTGCAAGGCAGGGACCGGGGAGCGCCCGCTCAGAGCCGTCAGCGAGGACAGGGCTCCTGGCTGCACATCAAAGGGCCTCAGGCCTTCTCCGGGCGGGCTCTCCCTCCCTGGGGACACTTCCATCTCCAGGGAGCCCTGGAAACACACCTCTGGGCCGACGCGTTTCCCTCAAGGCCAAAAGGTCACTGCCCCGGGCGGCGGCCACCTCCGGCTCTGACTGCACAAAGGGCCCCTGTGACGGTGCCCCCGGCCCTGCCTATATAAGCCCCTGCCCGGCGGCCTCTGCACGTCCTCAGGAGCCAGGAAGCCTCTGGATAGCGACCTGCGACTCGGACGGACGTTGGGCGGTGGACGGTAGCGTGGAGGTGTGGACGTAGCGTGGAGGTGTGGACGGTAGCGTGGAGGTGTGGTGGACGTGGTGTGTGTTCCGTTACTTCCTTCTTTTAGTTACTTATTTTAGTTATTTATTTTAGTTACTGTATTTTCATTTCTGTCCTATTTTCCTGTGTGGTTTTGTTACTTGCTTATATTTTTTTCTCTGTTTTTCTTTATTATTTTAGTTTCTCCTGTTTTCTTTTAGTTTTTTATTTTTCCTGTGTGTGTGGCCCCCCAACCCCCTTTTCCCTGCTGTCGTTACCGTGTCCTTGGTCCCTTCTTCCCCTTCGTCGTCCGTCCTTTTTTGTCCATTTTTGTTGCTCGTTTCCTGCTGTTTGTCCTGTCCGAGTCTGCTCCCCGTCCGTGCTGTCGCTGTGTGTTGTCCTCGTCAACGTAGTGGCTTGTTTTGATCGTATTGTCAAGTGTTTCTATCATTTGTGGTTTCTTTCGTTGTCTGTTCATTTATTTTTGGTGTCGCTAGTCAGTAGATCGTAGTGTTGGTAGATCGTAGTGTTGGTAGATAGTTAGTGTTGGTGTTTTCTAGTAGGTTAGTATAGTTAGTGTCGGGGGGCGGGGGGTTTTGGGGGGTCAGGGGGGTGGGGGGGTCAGGGGGGTGGGGGTGGAGTTAAGGTAGCTTTGTTAATATTTAGTTAGCTTGGGGGGGGGGTGATTTTATCTTCTATTAATCCCATAGTAGTTCTCTTGATACCATATCAGTACTATTGATACCATCTCAATAGTACCCTTGATAACACCACCAGGAGAGGCAGCGCCAGGGCCGCCAGCTTAGTCAGGGCCGCCAGCTTAGTCAGGGCCGCCAGGGTCGCCCCTCCGGGTTCGCACTCGCTATGTGGAGGCGCGGCGCCCCCGAGGCCGCCAGCATGAAACACTACCGGGTGCTGCGCACGCTGGGCGAGGGCGCGTACGCCAAGGTCAAACTGGCCCTGCACCTGGTGACCGGCACCGAGGTGGCCATCAAGTTCATCTGTAAGTCGCGGCAGGCGCGCCTCGAGTTCCTGGCGCGCGAGGTGGACTGTATGAAAGCCCTGCAGCACCCCAACATCATCCAGCTGTTCGAGGTGCTGGACACCCGGGAGGACCTCCTCCTGGTCATGGAGTACGCGGGCGGCGGGGACCTGCAGGAGTACCTGCTGCGGCACGGGCGCCTGGAGGAGCCCGAGGCGCGCGGCAAGTTCGAGCAGATCCTCGCGGCCGTCACGCACTGCCACGCGCGCGGCATAGCGCACCGCGACCTCAAGCCAGAGAACATCCTCATGGACAGCGAGCACAACCTCAAGCTCGGCGACTTCGGGCTGAGCATCGAGTGCGCGGGCGCGGCGCTCAGCACCTTCTGCGGGAGCCCCGAGTACGCGGCGCCCGAGATCTTCGAGCACCGCGCGTACGCGGGCCCCGCGGCCGACGTGTGGAGCCTGGGCGTGGTGCTCTACAGGATGGTGACGGGCGCGCTGCCGTTCCGGGGCTCCAACCTCCTGCAGCTGCGCGGCCGCGTGCTCAGCGGGCGCTTCCACCTGCCGAACTACCTCTCCGCGCCGTGCCGGGACCTCCTGGGCAGCATGATGGCGCTGGACCCGCAGGGGCGCAGCAGCCTGGAGGCCATCCAGCAGCACCCGTGGGTGCGGGCCAGCCGCGAGCTCCTGGCCGTGCGCCAGCCGTCGCCCAGCCACCAGGACGCGGCCCTGACCGAGGCCATGGTGCGCCTGGGCTACCGGCCGCAGCAGATCCAGGCGGCCGTGGGCGAGCGCCGGTTCGACGCCGTCATGGGGACGTACCTCATCCTGCGGTCCCGGCGGCGCGGCGAGGGGCAGGTGTGGCCGAGTGTCCCCGCGCTCCAGGAGCCCGGCCCGCGCGCCGCGAGCCCTGGCGGCCCGGGCTCCCGGGAGGGCCTCCCGCGGGGGTCCGGGGAGGAGCCGCGCCAGGAGGCCGCGCGCAAAGCGGGTACCGCCGCGCCCGCCCCGGTCCGCAGGACCATCTGCGTGAGGATCCCGCAGCTGGACCGCTCCTCAGAGCACAGCAGCAGCTGCCCGTCGAGCTCCCAGGGAGGGGGCACCTGGGAGGACTCTGGCACCCTCACGTCGGGCCCCCTGCAGGGGGACTCCTGGGAGGAGAGCGCCGCCTCCATCCCGGACCCCCTGCAGGAGGGCGCCCCGGGGTGCAGCGCCACGTCCATTCCGGGCCCCCAGGCGGAGGACAGAGCCACCCCCACGTCGGGCCCCCTGCAGGGGGACGCCTGGGAGGAGAGAGCCACCTCCATTCCAGACCCCCTGCAGGAGGGCGCCCCGGACCAGAGCGCCAGGTCCATTCCGGGCCCCAGGCGGAGGACAGCGTCACCCGCACGTCACGGCCCCTGCAGGGGGACGCCTGGGAGGAGAGAGCCACCTCCATTCCAGACCCCCTGCAGGAGGGCGCCCCGGACCAGAGCGCCACGTCCATTCCGGGCCCCCAGGCGGAGGACAGCGTCACCCGCACGTCACGGCCCCTGCAGGGGGACGCCTGGGAGGAGAGAGCCACCTCCATTCCAGACCCCCTGCAGGAGGGCGCCCCGGACCAGAGCGCCACGTCCATTCCGGGCCCCCAGGCGGAGGACACCCAGGAGCGTGGCAGCGCCGCCCCCATGCCAGGCCCCCAGGTGGAGGGTGGCCAGGAAGCCAAGAACAGAACACTCAGTGCAGCCCCCCAGCCCCCCCTCGCCAACCTCAGACCTCCCCCAAGACGCCGCTGGCTCCCCAAGTTCCGCAGGAACGCGGTGGCCCCGGCAGAGACGCTTGGCCACGAGGACGACAACTCCGCCTCAGTGCCGTCCGTCAGCTCCAGCCGGGGCGGGCTCGCCAGCGGGAGGCGGATCATGAACGCGCTGCTGAATCTGTGCTGCTTCTGCAGACCACGCGGCTCCAAACAGAGCAGCAGCGCTCACCCACCCGACGGCTGAGACCGCCACACCCTGCAGAGCCCGCCCGGGAGGCAGCCACCGAGGGAGCAGGAGCGAGCCGGGGAGGGCGAGGCTCTGCAGAGGGGTCGGGCGGGGGCCAGCCAGCGGGGCCAGGAGAAGCAGGACACACACAGGACCTGATCCCAGACGTCCTGGAGCCCAGCAGGTGAAGGGCCAGGAGGGCAACGGAACTGGTGACGCACCTGGGGTGGGGGGAGCAAGGCGGGTGAAGGGGGGAGTGGACATTGGGGGGTGAAGCAGGGGAGTGGAGGTTGGGGGCAGCTGAACAGATGAAGGGGCTGGTGGGGGGGCTGTGGAGCTGTGCAGGGGCGGCCCCCAGAGGCCCCAGGGCCAGAGGCCGGAACCCACGGCCTCGCTTCCCACCTTAGGCTCTGTCCGGTGAAGGCCTGCGCACCCCCTGGCTGGGAGAGCCCTGCTGTTGGCGCCTGGGCACACGGATGGCGCAGAGGACGCGGGAGCTCTGCGGGCCTGAGTGGCACAGTCACCGACTGACAGACACGGTAGGCAGTGCCCCCGGGTTGGGCCCCTTCTAAAAACTGAAGTTCCAAGTTGGAGAACCGCTCACCCGCCAGCTAGCGGCGGCTCCCAGGGCCTCCTGGTTTCCTTCCGAGCCTTGTCCCATCGACCTCTGTGCAACGCGCCTGGGGGGTTCCACTGACACACGAGCATCCTCCACACTTAACTCTCTGCTTGGGCTTAACTGGCTCTTCTCTTCCAACGCAGGTCCCCGAGGGCGCAGGACGCGGCCGCTGCAGAGGGGACCTCCAGGTGACCGGCTCTGCCTGCGGGGCGCTGGGGCGTGGCGGCATCTGAAAGCTGTTCCTCGGCCTGATGGAGACACTCAGAAACGGATTGCTTTGTTAGCGTGTCTATGTCTATGCCATGACTCATTAAATCATTGTTTGAAACCGACCGCGTTTGCTTCTCATTTATGAACGCGCCCGCACTTCCAACACCCGGGTCACCAGATACCTAAATTTCCTTTAAAATTCCTACGATCAGCACTGGGAATTTAAGACAATTTAGAAAATTTTAGAAGTCAGAGGGATCCCACGGTGATAGCACAGTGAGACAGGAGAGTGGCGCAGAGCTGCCGATGCGTATGTCATTGGGTCTTTGCACTATGTTCTTCAGGTGTATGTGCGTTTCACAGGGTCTGTGCAGGTGTGTGCATGTGAGCCTGTACATGTCTGTGTGCATGTGGGTGCTTCTATATGTGTGAAGTGTTCATGTACCTTCTAACGTCAGAAAGACTCAGACAGCTGTAGAGAATTGGTATAACGTCTTCAAAAGTGGGGCCACCCTGGTGGCACAAGGGGTTCCGCACAGCACTGTGAAGCTATGGGCAGCCTCTGCAGCACGAGTTCCATCCCCGGCTGGCCAGGGAGCTACCCACAGGACGCAGCAGACCTCTCCTGTCTCCCTGCTGCTCCCCTCAGCAGTGGATTTCAGTCAGTCTGCCTGTTCTGTTCCCCACTCTGTCTCTGGGGAATCCTCTCACCTCCTGTACCTCTGGCCTGTACCTCAGTTCTTGTGTGCATAAATAAATAAACCTTTAAAAAAATCTTAAAGTTTGATAGAATTAACCCATCAAACCCTAGTTTATTCTGGTTTAGTATTATTCAGGCCCTCCCTGGGGGTGCAGGAGCTAAAGTCGCCGTGCTATGAAGCTATCACCAGCCACTGAGGCATATAAGTTCACGAGTTTGAGCCCCAGCCCAGGAGCTGACCCACACAGTGCAGGAGACCTCTCCTATCTTCCCCACCGCTCCCCTCAGTTGTGGATTTCAGTGGATCCACCTTGTTCTGCTCCCCACTCTGTTGAGTCCTCTCACCCACTGCACCTCTGGCCTACACTCCGGTTCTTGCATGCATCATTAAATAAATCTTTTAAAAAAGGGTATTATTCAATTGGCCATCGATTTTAATGCTCAATATTCAAAACAAGATATCTATCCTTACTTTGAAATATAACATCTATTTTTGTTTACTGTATTCAAACATTTCATAGAAGCAATGACCTTGAACTGTTATTTAATTTAGTTCCAACAAATGCTTATGTTGATGTTCATTAATTTTTCCAGTAATTAGAAAAAATAGAGTAAAAAAACGTATTTTTGATACTAAATCATAACGTGCTTATTTGAAAAATCTTTCTTAAATATAAGACTGAAATTGTTATACATTTTCCTAGTTCATTGAAGATTTAGTTGTTGGTAAGTGAGCATATTTTAAAATGTACTGTTTAAAAACAATACAAATGATATACTGTATTTTTGAAGACTTCTTAAGTGACTTATAACTTAGACAATATTACAAACTTAAAATTAGTGATATTATTAGTAACATCATATATAAAATCTAATGATATTTTTTATCTCCCACATTTTTCCAGATAATACCATGTAACATGGTATATACCATATAATGTGTTTTTATACCCTATACTGTCTACTACCTGGGTACACCTATGTATCCTATTCTGTAAGTGATAGTGAGGGTTTATTTTTATTTGAATCAAAATGATGTTTTATAAAGGAATTGAGTATAATAATTTACAATGCTAGAATTAGATTGAATGATACTTGGATACAAACAGGAAAAAAGAGAGTCTGTGCAGATACTTTCAAACTCCTGTTTCCTGTGATTATCCAGAATAACTTTTAAATACTGATCAAAATTTATTTCCATAGACTAGACATATTCTGTCTCGAGCCTATTGTTGTCATTTTTCATGTAGTATGATTTGCAGATACACTTCAATAAAAATGATTTTTATAGTTGTTAGATGTACATTATGCAATGCTCGTTTAAACATGTTAGCTTTTACTGTACTTGCCTTGATTTTCAAGCAAAATTTTATGTCACAGTACATTAATTTCTATTATCTATCTTTGCACTTTTTCATTAACACACTTTCTTTATTGCAATAAACAAAACTAAAGATGGTGTTAGTTGTCTGGCTCCAGGCTGCAGTAATTTCACCAAACATCTGGAAGACAAATGAATGGAGCAGACTATTGTTGTAATTATATTTATTGATTTGAGTGTTTTTAAATTCTTATTTATCTTGAACAATAATGTATTTGTGTCTATAAATTGATTAATGGATTATAATCTTAATCATGAAATAGTAGAAGTTACAGCTGGCTAAGTAATGTGGTTTCTTACAAATTACTTCAATTACAGATGCCAAGCATTCTGCATTCCCCACTTAACAAGAAGTGGTTTGCCAAGAAGTTTCTTTAATCATTAGCTTGTCTCTGTACTGGCACAGCTGTTGGAAAAGTAACTACCCATGTCAAACGTATCTCATCCCCAAACTCAATCTCCCACTACGCAGTGTGTCTACACAATTATTCCAGGCTTGAAGTGGTGTATGATCTGATATCTTCCCAGTAACAACAGTTGAAACAGTTAGCTTGTATTTATACTTAATTGTTTGCATAATGTTTACCATGCTTTTGAATAACAGAAATAGCCTGCATTGAATAGCAATTACAATATTAAAATACTGTGGGATTTTAATGTGTAAAGTTATGCAGGTTAAAACTGTTCTTTCCTAACTGTCACTTTATGTTATTTTAAAATTTAGACATTACTTTAAAATGGGGCCTCCCTGGTGACACCGGGGTTAAAGGCGGTGCTATCACGCTCTCAGCAGCCACTGCAGCAGGAGTTCCATCCCCTGCAGGCCAGGGAGCAGCCCCACAGGGTATGCCAGACCTCTCCTGCCTTGCCCACTGCTCCCCTCAGCAGTGTGTTTCAGTAGATCTGCCTGTTCTGCTTCCCACTCTGTCTCTGGTGAATCCTTTCACCCCTCACACCTCTGGCCTACACCCCAGTTTGTATGCATAAATAAATATTTGTATGCATAAATAAATAAATCTTTTTAAAAAGTCTCTTTTAAAATGATCTCTTAGATTCATGATCCTATATCTGTTAATAGGATAATAATAGAAGTATATATAAGTTTTTATTTATTTAATTTTTATAATCCAGAAATATGCTTTCCTTTTACAGTAATTTATAAAGAATGGGTGATAGATAGCTTTCATATATATAATATGTATACAAATATAAACTTCTTTCATAGATAGATAATAGTCATATTCTGGTAGTAGGTGAAAGTATTAAAGTTACTGATTTAATTAGTAAGAAAAATTCATTTATAATTTTAATTGCTTTTAAATAGGCTTCATAGTATATTATTGACACGTGAACACTCTGACGTAGAAATTGAGATTCCATTAGACTGCACACACAAAGGAAAAAATAGAGGAACAGGTTTTTATTACTCAGAAGTTAATTTGGAAGAAAAAAATAAAAGTCTGAGCCTTCTCAAATTTATGAAGTTGGAATTCAAACAGTGCTAAATGAGTTACGAATAAAAACCAATTGGCAATAAAAAACTATAGAAGGTGCGTTTTACTTTTTTTCACTTCAGGTGAACATGGTGGTGGCTGTGTCGGGACCCAGGGGGTCGCTGCGGGACAGGGGAGGAAGGTGCCTTCTCGAAGCCACGGCGAACTGACAAGGCCGGGCTGCCTGGGCGAGGGATTCTGATCAGGTTTCAACGATAAACTCACTTATAAAATAAAACACTAATGTATCCATGAGTCAGCACACACTTGGAGCTATAATTCAGTGTAACCTGGCGCCAATGAAAGGTGCACACCACAAGCACCTGAGCCTGCTGTGCGCCGGGGCCTCCCGCCTCACCTTCCCGGGCGAGTCTCTCCACATTTCGGGGGCGGCCACCAACAGGGGTGAGGTGTCAGGTCCTGGGGCTCCTCCTGTGGCGCCCTGAGGATGAGCGACCTTGAGCTCCTTGACCTGTGCCTGCCGGCCATTTGCACGTTTTCTGGGAAAAATGTCTATTCTCTTTCTGGTTTTAATCCCATAGTTTGGGGCTTTTTGCTCCTCAGTGGCACGGATTCTCTATATATTGTGTGCGCTCGTCGCCCCTTGTCAGATCTGTAATTTGCAAACATTTCCTCCAATTTTGTAGGCCGCCTGTTGATTTTTTGACGGTTTCTTCTGCTGTGCAAACTCCATGAGTTGCTAATTCTCATTTCTACTTGCTTTCCTCTCACAACATCTTGCATTTTTCTCTTTGAACAGGATGCTAAATGTCTTGATTCTGAGTTATTCTTTCAATGTTTTAATGGTTTTGCCGCAGCCTTCAGAACAACAATAAAGTCACGACGATAATTGAAAACTCACCACAAAGTTTGAGCATAAAGGAAAAAAAATTAATTTAGATTTTAATTTAGATAAGATATTGATAATTTGTTCAGGTTCTGTGTTACATGGCCATCATTCGGGGAGGAAAGAAATCCTTCATTAATTTCCAAGGAGATAAACAAACACCACAGATCTTCAGAGTGCTTTCAAAAAAAGGATATTTTCTTCTTTCTGAACAGGACCACGGTTGAAGAATTTATTGACTTTATAAGCACAGAAATAGAAGATCAAAACTAATGAAAATTGGAAGCAAAATTTTCAAGTAACTTGATAGGCAATATAGACTGCTGGGGACATCGAACACCAGATGACTTCATTGCAAGGGAGGCCGTCAAAATGGGGATGAATAGGAGGAGAAAAAATGCTGCTTGATTTACAATCTTCAGTCGGAAATTAAATGTAAATACACGCAATTTCCCCCTCCCCTCGCCAACCGTGCTGCTTTCCGTCAGTGTCTCTCTTCCTTCTTCGTGTTCTTCTTTCCTCTTTTTCCTTCTTCAACTCTATAAATTTTCTTCCTTCTCATTTAGAAAATTTTGCAGTGTTAAAATGTAGCATCAATTGAAGTTTAAAAATAAGGGGGTTGCAGTTGTATGGGGAACATAAAAATAAAATTTATTATAAAAAAAAATCTCCTCAGACTCTTCCTTTCTTTATAAA